AGAGAGAGAGAGAGAGAGAGAGAGGCATCAGTGAGCATTGAAAAATAGCCGTGCTACTCGCTCGTGGCCTGTTTAATGAGAGGGTAGAACGAACGAACGACAAGGGTGAGCAGGGATGAACGGAGAAATGGAGGGTAATCGTATTTCCGGTGAATTTCCGACTCGGTTGATCGACTCATCGGCACCGGCCAACGATATGCCTGTAATTTCAATATATAACAACGCCTATATACACGATACAACCGTCGTCGGTCTGTCTGGAGCCCAGAGAGACAACGCCTCGTTTCTGAATTTCCATCGATCTGTCCAAATCTGTGGATTCGGCCTTACTCGCCGTGTCGAGCGACAATCACGTTTACACTATTTTTAGCTCGACGTCAACCGAACAAACTTTTTCCCTCTCGGATAAAAATAAATACGATAAAAATAAATATTTCGGGGAAAAGAAAGCGAGAAAAGGAATTGTCAAAGGTCAACAGGGCGTGGTCGTCGCGCGGTGGAATAATTACTGAGAATAAATTACTGGAAATGTACGAGAGACACTTCTGAGACGTTCCAAGATGTTTCATTATTTTAAATAATTATTCTTTGATTGGTTTAATATCTCTCAAGGTAATAATGCGTTACTTTTTACTTTACTCGAACGTTCTTTCATGCCGTTGCTCGCTCCTATCATTTATGTTTTCAATCATTTATGTTTTCAAATGAGTTTAGCGCGGGCGTATGGACGTTCCAAAGTTTAATAACTAATTTTCACACGTATATACAGAGGATAATTAATATATTCTTTAACTTTATTATCAACTTTCATAGCGTTAATCAGAATTACCTTCTGATAACTAACTTTTTGCTCGAATAACTTTACGCGGCATACTTTTCGGTTTTAACGGTGTGCTACGGTTACATAGAATCTATTAGAAAACATCAAAAGTTATCATTTAATTGCGCGTTGTTTCTGAGTAAAATTTCATATTTAAAATTAAAAATTATTCTTATGTTACAAAATATCGTATTCGCAAATTAGTTTTACGTTTGCCTGGAAAATTTATAAAAATGTCAGCGTCGTGCGACGATTTTTAATTTATCGCTCTCTTTTTCTCTCGTGTACCAAAAAAAGTAATATTAGATTTACCTGTGACATTTCAATTTCACCGCATAATTGAAATTAAAGGGAATCACAGTTTAGCGAGATTTG